AACACAGCACATACCTGTCTTCTCTCCTGTCCATCTCCCTTAGGGCTCTCCTGCCCTCCCTGGTGGCCAGAAGGGCAGATCGTGGGACTCTGAGACCTTATCCCAGGAACTGTCGGCGTCCCTTGCCCGGTGTGTGTCTAGGACCTGGCTGGGGGTGGGTGGCTGAGCAGGGTGGTGGAGAGCACTGTATACAGCAGATGCCAAAGCGTGTGGCTGTCTGCAGGTGTGTTGGGAGGGAGGGCGAGGGTTGGCAGTGGCTGGGATGGTCTATCGTACCCTTGCAGGGCGGCGGACCTGCGGGCACAGCTGCAGTCCCTGCGGCGGCAGCTGGAGCAGGTGGCTCAGAAGGGCCGGACCAGACGTGCTCAGAGCGCGGAGCTGAACCGAGAGCTGTGCAAGGCTCACAGGTGAGACTCGAACCGTCTTAGAAGCGTTCCGGTTCCCTCTGGGCCTCAGGATCCCCGCTTCTAAGAGAGGCAGCGGGCAAGCCCACAGCCCCTGCCTTTAGTACAGCCGGGCCTGTGCATCAGACCGGTCTCAGCCAGGAATCTCCCCTCCCGCTTGCAGCTCCCTGGTCTTGGCCTTCAGAGGAGCCCACCGGAAGCAGGAAGAGCAACGCCGGAAGTTGGAGCAGCAGGTAGCTCGGATGCAGGCCCAGCAGGCAGAGGAACTGGCAGTGCTGGCAGCCACAGCCAGAGCCCTGGGGAAGCCGGGGGCTCCCCAGCCAGGCCAGACCTTCCTGTAGGACCCGGACCCAGCTCGCACGTAACACGCAGGTGTGGCGGGGCACGTCATAAAGTGTCCTGTCGTAGGCTGGAGAGATGGCTCAGCGGTTAAGAGCATTTGCTGCTCTTGCAGAGGTCCTGGGTTCAGTTCCCAGCCTCAACGGCCACAGGCACTGGACCATCAGCTGGGAGGATCTGTCGCCCTCTTCTGGACTCCACAGGCTCTGAAGTCATGTGCGCACACACACCCACTCATATGCGTAATTAAACAAAATGAAGTGTCCTGTCGTGACATCATACGCCCTGTCCTTTGTTCCTTGTGGCCAGACCGCCTTATGAGGGGGTGCTGAGTTTGGCCAGAGCATCTTCCCAAAAGAGGACAGAGATGGGAAGGACTCATCTGGAGGCCTGTTCCCAGGGGGTGCTGGGGAGAAATCCCAGACTGCTTAGGACCTGCATTTAGAAGGAAAGGATGGGGTGGTTGCTCAGCAGTAGGTCATGTGCTGAGGGTGCTTGAAGCCTTCAAGTGGCCTCTGCCCGCCCATCCCACCAGCCTGTGCTGAGGAGGCCCTGGGTCCCATCTGCAGCCCTTACCAAGCACGTGGGAGGCTTCTGTAGAGCACCGAGGCTGGGACCAAGTGGGGAGAGTGCCTGCCTAGCATGCACAAGGCCCTGGGCTCCATCCCCACCACCACACACAAAGGGAAGTCTGTGCCTACCTGTAATGCCAGCACTCAGGGTTCAAGGCTTTCCTCGACTACATAGTGAGTTTAAGTCCAGCCAGGACCACATGAGACAGCATCTAAAAAGCAAATGAATGGGGGCTGGAGAGACGGTTCTGCAGTTAAGAGCACTTACTGTTCTTGCAGAGGAGCAGAGTTCAGTTCCCAGCATCCATGTCTGATGGCGCCTCTGGCCTCCTAGGGCGTCCACACTCAGATACACACAATTTAAAATAATAAAAATAAATTTAATGTAGCTGTGGTAGAAATCCTCTGAGTGGAGACACCTGTGACATCGAGACATTGCCATCCTGTGCTTGTGGGGAGAGGAGGTCAGGGCTTCTGGAAGGGGCTTCTCGGGAAGGAGGAATGTTTTGTGTATGTAATAGCAGCTGACTGAGTAGCCGTGAACCGGCTACACCCCTCGCCAAGGAGGCTGGGATGGGGTCCAGCAGTCCCCTCCAGGCTGAAACCCTAGAGGAGGATTATCCTGGAAGTGGGCCCTGCAGGCCACACCTGTGCAGGTGTGCCGAACAGCTGTCTGCCCTCAGGGGACAGCCACAGTGCCCCAGGGAGGCTTGAGTCCAAGACTGAGGCAGTCATTGGGGCTGGGGATCCGTGTTTGTCCCACACTCTCCGTGGGTTGTGAGGCAGGTCACCTTGCTGGGGTGGGGTGGGGGTGGGGGGACAGCTTTCTCCTTTCACTGCCCTCCCCCGCTATGGGTCTCTGGTTGTCTCCTGCCACCATGCAGGTCCCTAGAATCGAATCAGGTCTTCAGGCTTAGCAGCAAGCACCGTTGCCCACTTAGGACTCTTGAGCCCTTAGCCACCAGGTCGTTAGTGGTCAGCCAAGGTCGCCTGTCGGGGTGGGGGGGCCGGTTCCCAGGCTGCTCACACAGTGTCTGGCTGTTCCCACGGACGTCCCAGCAGCAGATGGGACCAGTGTCTTTGTCCCCAGGTCCTCGGCAGCCACAAGGTCAAATGTCACCTCGGGGCCACGGGCAGGGGTTATGGGGGCGTGGCAAGACCCTGCCCACCCTCAGTTGGGCCCCAAGAGTGAGGGGGTGGTGGGGAGACTGGGGCAGGGGCTGTACTGTGGTGCTCACTTCTCCCACCCCAAACTCTCCCTTAAACTAGTCTCCCCAAATCCGTTTATTTGGGCTTCTGTGACCCAGTCCCCCCTTCCAGAGCCTTCTTTTTCTACACTGCTTTGTTTCTCTGAGATACTGCTACCAAGGATTCTGGAACAGTCCAGTCTAGGACCCCTGCCCTCACCCCAAATAACCAACTCTGACCCCAAAACTATTGTATCTTCTGGGCCCACCCAGGCTTTGTTTCCACTAAAGCAGAGCTTGTTCCAATCAGACTTCTGGGAAGTCCCTGCTTGAGTTTAACCCTAGTCCTTCCTGCTTTCTGTATTTGGATCTTCACATGGTATCCAGGCAGACTCTTCTGGGCAGGTCCGAGGCACAGGGTTGGGTGCCCCTGGCTGGCAGAAACCTGAACCCCACTCTCTTCCCTTAACTCCCCCACAACCCCCATGTGTGGTCTCATCTTGTGGGGTGATTTTCACAAGGCTCTCCGGGGCAGAGTAGATGTTAGGGGGCACAGGGAGTCCCGGCCGCGTGCCCTAGTGTCCACACTGGACCCAGGCATGTGCAGGAGGCAGAACAGGCCTGGCGGGCAGAACCGTGACTCGGGTGAAAGGTCAGCCAGTTAAGGAGTTAAACGTTAACAGACCTGGAGTCAGGCCTCAGCTCCTCACCTAGGCCTCAAACGTGAAGGGAGCTTAATAAATGCTTGCCCTGGAGGTGCCTTGCATATAAAGGGAGCTTAATAAATGCTTGCTCCCGTAGAACTTGGGTCTAGAGAGGGGGGCCGGGAGGCTCAGGGGCGTGGCGGCAGCTGGGAGGCTCCTGGGAGCGGGGGAGACATCTGTGGCCCAGCCGGTCACCAAGCCAAGCCCTTTCTGTGAAGCAGAGAAAGAAAAGGAAATGAAGGGGGACCGGGGACTACAGCCAGGGGCTGGCACGCCTTCCGGCCGCCTCAGGCCACGCTGAGGGCGCTGGGCGCCCAGCCTTCCCCCGCCCCGAGGCCTGAAAGGACAGGGGGACCCCTTGACCTCACAGCGCGGCCAGCAGGCCTCGTGAGGCCGCGTTCCCCCCACCCCCCGACTCGGGGCACCAGGTGTTCACCGGAGCGGAGCGCGCGGGGCGGGGGCGGGACCGGCCGCGGGGACTTTGGGGATGGGGGGGGGGGAGGTGGCCGGCTCCAGCTGGCAGCCGTGCGGAGCAATGCGGGGGCGCGCGCGTGTGCGGCGGGGGCGTGCCGGGTGCCGATGTCCCCCGGGGGGCGCGGCTGCAGAGAGCCGCGCGGAGCACGCACAGGCCCGGGGCAGGGCGCGCAGGGGTTAAGGCTGCGCGGCCGCGTGGGGGAGGGTCAGCCGCGCGCCCCGCCCCGCCCTCTCGCCGGCCCACGGCTCCGGGCGGCGCGCGGCTACCCCATGCCCTTATAAGGGCGGCCGTCGCCGGGGCAACGAGCGCCCGCCCCCGGCCGCGCCGCGCGCCCCCGCCCCGCCCCCCGCCGGCGCCGATGGAACGCGGGTGCCAGGCCGGCCGCAGCGCGGGGCCGGCGGCGAGCGCCAGGGCGAGGCCGAGGCTCGGGCCCAGGCGCAGGCCCAGGCCGGCCGCGCGCGCGCTCGGCGGGGAGAGGAGCCGGCGGAGGCTGCGGGCCGCACTCCCCACTCGGCTCTATCGCCCGGACCTCCGCGACTGCGGCCGGCCGCGCGCGGCGTCCGGGACTCCCGGGCTCCGGCGCGCGCTCCCGTCGCCCCTCCCCCCCTCGCCGCTCAACTTGCGGCCAAAGTTTCCCCCCGGGCTCGGGGGCGCGCGCGCGCCCTCGGATGGCGAGCTACTAAGTTGGCCTGGGCGGCGGGGCCGGGCCATGGCCCGCGCGTCCCCACCGGGTCCCCAGGACTCCGGACCACGGGACCCGGGCGCCCCAGACCCGCGCCTCTAGCGCGCCCCCCGTCGGCCGCGGGCACGCGTGGGAAAGTTGGCCTGGAACCGGCCCGACCAGTTCCTGCCGGGCGCGCGGACCGGCCGCAGGAAGTTGCCGAAAAACTTTTTTCGGGGGGTGCGACCCGAGCCCCCCCGAGCGCACGGGCTGCATGCGCGCGGGGTAGCCGGGTCCCCCTCGGGTCGCCAGGCGTGCCCGGAGGGGACGGACTCGCCCCGGGGCGCCCCGGCCCCGCCGTCCCTGGGGCTATGGCCATGGTGACCAGTGGCTGGGGCGGCCCCGGAGGCGACACGAACGGCGTGGACAAGGCCGGCGGGAGCTACCCACGCGCGACCGAGGACGACTCGGCGTCGCCTCCCGGGGTGGCCAGCGACGCGGAGCCGGGCGACGAGGAGCGCCCAGGGCTGCAGGTGGACTGCGTGGTGTGCGGGGACAAGTCCAGCGGCAAGCACTACGGCGTGTTCACCTGCGAGGGCTGCAAGAGTTTCTTCAAGCGCAGCATCCGCCGCAACCTGAGCTACACCTGCCGGTGAGCCCCACGCGCGGCCACCGGGCCGGCCCGGACCTGCTCGGTCACCTTGGGCCTGGCGCTGACCTTCCCCGCACCCGTATCCCCGCCCAGGCCACGGGCACGGCTTCGGCTGTGATCGGGTATACAGTTGGCGATGCATGCGTGCAGGTCACCCCCCCCCACCCCCGCAGGTGGTCTTTGCTCCTCTCCTTCTGCTCTGGAGAGCTGATTCTGCCGCGCGGGGAGGGCTCGTGGGTGATGTCAGGAGTGGGGACCCCCTTTCCAGCTCCCAGAGCTCCCTTTCTCGTGGAGGCCCGTCACGCGTGATGCCCCGCGGGCATCAGACGTGCAAGTCGCATCGCGGGGCTGGCGGCGTCCAGGGGCCATTGTCTGCGGCCGCGCGGATCGATCCGGCGCGCCCTTGGGTCAAATATCACTTCCAAAGTCGCCCCGGCACGGGCAGCTGGAGGGACGCCCGGGTGGCTGGGGATGGCTGCCCTCGCCCGCGGTGGGGGGCTGCTGAACATGGGGACCTGGGCCTGTCCATCAGAGGGGCACCCCATGGGCTCTGGGTCACCGGAAGCCGCCGCCGGAGGGCCAGCAAGGCCACCGGAATTGACCGCACCCCCCCACTCCGGGGCTGGTGCAGCCTTGGGGCTCCCGGACGATCCTTTAAACTTTGGGGCCGCTCTAGGAGCGAGAGACCCGTGGGAGATGCCGACCCCTTTTCGGGGCCCAGCAGGGCGTGGCCTTGCTTACTGGCAGCCGCCGGGGACAGAAAGTCCCTTGGAGAAGAGGTTGGGTGCTCAGGCCAGGGGTTGCTGACCACTTTCTGTCTAGGCATGCAGAAGCTGGGCTCTGCACCCCCAGGATCCTTCAGGGCCTTAGAGCAGGGCAGACAGCCCCGTTTCCCAGGTACTCAGAGCTGACCCCGGAGAAGTTGTAGGCTGCCCCGGGTCAACGTAAGGGTCTTGGCCCCATGGGCTTAGCAAGTGGAGCTGTGGGCGCTGGGATGTGCAGTTGGTGGGATGAGGAGTTAGTGGAATGTGGAGTTGGGTTTTGTTTGTTTTTGTTTTCTTGTTCCCCCAGAGGTTACTGGCTGATGGCCGGTCAGTTGGGGACTGCCACCGTGCTCAAGTGGACTTAGTGGGGACCTGCTTTGCTCTCCTCCTCCAGCTGTAACTGGGCCACCAGACTTTGGCCTCATTCTTGTGTCTGGAAGGAGTTGCTAGCTTTGGCTGGGTCTTTGGGGAGAACAGAGGGGGTTGGGGCAGGTTCGGGTCCCACCTGCTCTCTGGGCTCCTTAGGACCTACCTACCTTGTGTGACCTTGTGTGGCCAGTGTCCCTCTCTGAACCTGAGTGGGTCAGCAGCTATTTGGAGGGGGCCATCAGGAAATGGCCTCAAAGCCCTGGCAGGCAGAAGAGGAAACCCCAGATGAGGGGTGGCACTGTCAGGTGAGCCCACCCAGGCCCAGCCAGCAAGTGGGCGCGACATTCTGGGCTGAGAGCATCAGGGAGCCTGACAGTTGTATGATCAGGGTCTGCACAGATCCAGTTGGGAAGTTGGCCAGTATGTGTTACACTCGAGAGGCTGGAACAGGAGGATGGCTTGAGCCCAGAAGTCTGAGGGCAGCCTGGACAGCATCGTGAAGGGACAGTGCTCCTCCCCGCCCCCATCCCAAACAACAAAGATACAAAGCCAGGACAGCAATTGGAACTAGGCCATGCCTTTGGGAAAAGCATATACACTTTAGGTGCGGTAGCTGGAAGAACTTACTGTGTTTTGTGGGTTTTAATCTGTCCCAATCATGCAGTTGGAAAGGCAAGACAGAAGGCCTTCCCTGAGCAGACCTGCTCACCCACCCAGGGCCTGGCCAGTTCCGCCTGGCTGCCCTGATCCTCCACCACCCGCCTGGCTGCTGGCTTTGTTCTGGCTGTGCCTGAGTTCTCTCTGCCCCAGCTGGGCCCCTTCCTGGGGCCTTTAGAAGCCACAAGGTATGGGCTCTCCTAACCCTGGCCAGAGCACTCCAGCTGGGGCTGGAGGCTGTCCCTGGAGCCCCCCAGTACCCCTCTGCTCGGTGTCCCTGCATAGCGCATCAGTGGGTGTCTGGGGAAGGATCAGGCTGGGGAAGAAGCCAATGCCCAGCTCTGGGCTTGATTTCTTCCTCGAATTACTATTCTGTGTCTGGATGCTCCTGGTGCCCAGATTGGGCATGGCAAGGCATTCTCCAAGGGCTGACCAGAGGAAGAATCCTGGGCTTATGGAGAGAAACTGGGGGGTGAAGTTTTCAGAGGAGAAAAAGCTCTGTTATTCATTCTTTTTTAAAAGTGATTTATTTTTATTTTATGTGCATTGGTGTTTTGCCTGCATGCATGTCTGTGTGTGAGTGTCAGATCTTGGAGTTACAGACCGTTGTGAGCTGCCGTGTGGGTGCTGGGAATTGAACCCTGGTCCTGTGGAAGAGCAGTCAGTGTTCTTAACCGTTGAGCTATCTCTCCAGCCTGTCATTCATTCATTCTTATCACAGGCTGTAATGCTGGGGACACACAGTGCTATGACACCATTACAGCTGCCTCTTGGCCTGATGGTGACCAAGTAAAATGAAAAGGATTCATTCTCCATCCTTTTGAGTTTCAAATCTGTTTCACCTTGTCCTCTGCCAGAAAAGGCTTCTCCACTTCTGTGCTCTTGGGGAGCTTTTATTCAGACAGACTTCAACACCCATGCAATCCGATTCCTACACCATGCCTTTGGGGCTACCATCACAGTCTAGGGAGCCCCAACTGGTGTTTCTCAAGGGTTCACAGGCACGGAGGATGTGGGTGTCACTGGGAACCCTGGCCTCTGTCTCCAGGTCTAACCGAGACTGTCAGATTGACCAGCACCACCGGAACCAGTGTCAGTACTGCCGCCTCAAGAAGTGCTTCCGGGTGGGCATGCGCAAGGAGGGTGAGTAGCCGTGGGGTGTGGCCACAGCTGGGCTCTTTCCCTAGTGACCTCCTTCTCCCTCTCCCAACTAGGATTTTTATTTTTATTTTTTTAATCTGTTTACTCTCTGCTCTGTATGTTTACTGAAGGCAGGACTCAGATTACAGCCAAAGGCTGCCTGAGGGAGGCCCAACTGCCTGTCCCTGCCCAGGGGTCCTGGGTGGACAGACACACTGAACCACCTGGGCCTCAGATTCTGTCAGGTCCCCCAGGGGCAGCCACACAGAGCCCTGAGGGTTGGGAGCCTGGGCTGGTGGGGAGGGGAGGCTCTGGAGCAGGCCAGGGTAGCATGCCACCTGTTGCTTGCTTTGACATTGGTCACTTTCTTGCGGGGCTTCTGAGGATCCGAGTACGGCCACTGCTTAAGGTCTGCTTTAGATTGGAGAGTCAGGCATAGTGGCCCAGGCTTGTCATCTCAGTGCTTACGAGGCTGAGGCAGGAGAATCTCCAGTTTGAAGTCATAGCAAAACTTGATTAGAAAAAAATGACATCCACACACAACGAAAAACATCATCAGCCTTATCTGATGGCTCCCTTCGGTCCCTCTAAGTTTGAAGGTGGCTCCTGCCCCTTGCCCAACCTGGAGTTCTGTCCTAACTTGTCTATTAGATGGAAAGTCCTGATAGGTCTTTAATCAGAGCCTGTGATCTCCAGCCTGTCACCAGGACTCCTGCTCCCAGTGCCTTCCTGCCTCGGGGACTTTGCACAGCTGTTCCTTCCAAATGTGGGCCTGGCCCCTCCCTCTTGTCTTAGAGTTAGTTCCTGGGGTCACAGGCTTATGTCTACCTTGCTCTGAAACTGACACCCTTCACCTGTACATCTCCAGGGTCTGGCACACACAGTAGGTGTTCAATAAATGGCTCTTGGCTGGGTTTACCACCCAGCCCTTCACCCCTGACAGGCACTGTTAGAAGCAAAGTCATGTAGATTCTCATACACGTAGCTTAGTGGTCATCTGCTGCATTTGACATTTGAGGACACCGAGGCACAGAGAACAGATGGGTGCTGGGATTTGAACTCCAGCAGTCTAGACTGGAGGAAGAAGACAAGGGCAGGGGAGGAGTGGGATTTTGAGGCTTGGAACATTCTGGGCAAAGGACCTGGAGGGCTAGATGAGGGAGCAGTAGTGAGGGTGGGTCTGCATTTTGTGAGCGAAAGGAGCTCCCAAGAACCGAGGGAGAACTGGGGATCTTGTCCAGCTACAGCTATTCGACAGGAGGCTGGGAGACTCCCCATGCCACTGATATCTGTGCTGGGTCCCTTCCTGTGCTCCCTGCATCCCTGGCTCTGGCTCCAGCTGGATTGACCTGGAGTTCACCCACCAGTGAGACAGGTGTCGGCTCATTAAAGCACACTCGTTAGCAGCCTCCTGGCTCCATGCCCAGGCTGCCTTCTCCGTGCTAAAATACCTGTGCTCCTCCATGCCTCAGTTTCCTTTCCACCCCGTCCGTGATGAGGACTCAGATAAGCATTTGATTCTCTTTTCAGTGATTTTTGAAACAGGGCCACGTGTGTCCCAGGCTGGCCTCAAAATTATTTTGTACTGAGGCTGGCCTTGAACTCCTGACCTTCCTGCCTCCATACTCCAGGGCTGGGATGACTGGTATGCACCACCATGGGCAAAGGTAACAATGGCAGCCATTGCCCTTGGGGACCACAACCATGCCACTATGGCGATGTGGTCCCACAGGGGAGTTGTGAGTGGTGGGAGAAGCCAGGAACAGATCCAGTCCCCGGTGATTGACCGATGTGGCCTCCACGGTGCAGGAGAAGGGTGTCCGGCGGGTGGAGATCCTGGGGATGGGCGGCCACAGGAGCAGGCAGGGCCCTGGTGGCCAGCGCGTGTCTGTTCCTCTGTGCCGCCACACGGGGTGGGGGTGGCCCTCCAGCACCGACGCCTGACGCCGCCCTGTCTCCGCAGCCGTGCAGCGCGGCCGAATCCCGCACGCGCTCCCGGGTCCCGCGGCCTGCAGTCCCCCGGGCGCCGCGGGCGTCGAGCCGTTCGCGGGGCCGCCGGTGTCCGAGCTGATCGCGCAACTGCTGCGCGCCGAGCCCTACCCCGCGGCCGGGCGCTTCGGCGGCGGCGGCGCCGTGCTGGGCATCGACAACGTGTGCGAGCTGGCGGCGCGCCTGCTGTTCAGCACGGTCGAGTGGGCCCGCCACGCGCCCTTCTTCCCCGAGCTACCGGCCGCCGACCAGGTGGCGCTGCTGCGGCTCAGCTGGAGCGAGTTGTTCGTGCTGAACGCGGCGCAGGCGGCGCTACCGCTGCACACGGCGCCGCTTCTGGCCGCCGCGGGGCTGCACGCCGCGCCCATGGCTGCCGAGCGCGCAGTGGCCTTCATGGACCAGGTGCGCGCCTTCCAGGAGCAGGTGGACAAGCTGGGCCGCCTGCAGGTGGACGCCGCCGAGTACGGCTGCCTCAAGGCCATCGCGCTCTTCACGCCTGGTGAGCCCGCCCCGCCTGCTCACGCCCCAGCCAGGCCACGCCCCAGCCAGGCCACGCCCACAGGCTGACCCCTCCGACAGGCCCCGATAGGCCGCGTCTGAGCAGCCCACTCCCACGGACAAGCCACGCCGCTAAGCAGGCCCTGCCCTGGCGCAGACCAGGCTCCCAACCAGACCCAAGCCACGTCCCAGCCCAGAGCCACGCCCTCAAGCTGACCGCGCCCCTAGCCTGGATACTGTCCCCACACTGATCCAGGCCTCCGCCCTGAGGGCAGGCCGCACACACTAGAAGCCCTAGGACATGCTCTTCCCTCTCGGGTAACGCTAACCAACCTGGGCTGAGAGGCCACTGCCTCGGCAGGTGACATCCCTGCATCTGCCCAGCCCCTCCTTGGCCTAACACTGCCCCAGGCCTCACCCCAAGTCTCTTGCACAGCTCCAGGCCATGCTGCGGGCCCTACCCCTGGTTTGGCCCCGTCTTGCCCCCAGCTTACCCAGACAGTACGCTACTGGACTCTGAAACATTCTGGAAGCTATAGCGCAGCCAGACTCCAGGCCACACCCGGACTGCCCCCTGGGCTCCGGCATCTGTTCTGGGGAACGCCCCCTTGGTTGGAAGACACAGATACCGTTCTTGCCCGGGCAGGCAGGAGTTAGGCTCTACCCTAGGCCACACCTCAAGGGCCACTCACTCCGATGGCATGCCATTGCCATGATCGGGAGGGGCAGAGGGTCATGTAGATAGTGCTCTTTAGAGATCCCGAGATGGAACCTGTAACTCTGGTCCCCAGGACCTCATCAGAATGCTTGGTGGTGTCGTGCTGGCCTGTCATCTCAGCCTTTGGGTGGGCTGTGGCAAGAGACTAGTGAGTTCCAGGACTACAGATCCAGATACTGTCTAATACCCCACCTGAAAAAACTTTAAAAGGGATGTCCTGGCCCTGCTCTTCAAGTGGGCGTGGCTTAGAGGGAGGAGTTAGAGGCGTGGCTTGGGCCCCTCCCACAAAGAGGCAGCTCAGGAGTGCCCCGCCTTTAGGGCGGGACAGAGCCGCTCTTAGTAACTCCCATCCATGGGGTGGCTCTGAGGGTTCTGCACTGCGGCGAAGCTCGCTGAGCCTGTTCCCTCGGTTCTACACAGCTTGTCTGTGGTGGACACTGGCTTAGATATTCTCGTTCGTGCCCCTGGGTCCCACCTCTGCTTCCTCCAGTGGCATCCCTACCCCTCCTGTAGGCCTCTCGTCCTGCTTCCGCAGATGTGACTTGTCTCTTCTTCCTGCAGATGCTTGTGGCCTTTCTGACCCAGCCCATGTGGAGAGCCTGCAGGAGAAGGCACAGGTGGCCCTCACCGAGTATGTGCGTGCCCAGTACCCGTCGCAGCCCCAGCGCTTTGGACGCCTGCTGCTGCGGCTGCCGGCCTTGCGTGCTGTGCCAGCATCCCTCATCTCCCAGCTTTTCTTCATGCGCCTGGTTGGCAAGACACCGATCGAGACGCTCATCCGAGACATGCTACTATCAGGGAGCACCTTCAACTGGCCCTATGGCTCGGGCTAGTGATGGACACCTTCCAGGACACAAGGATGCTGGGACCTTGCAGGGGCCCTGGGGTCAGGGCCCCAGCTTTTCTCCTAAGACTGATTCTTTTTTAAAAGACTGTGAAATGTTTGTCTGTTTTGTTTTTTAATTAATCTTGAAACCAAAAAGAATTTGCTCTCCCAGGCCTCAGCCTTGTCCTCCTGGCAGCCCCTGGTCAGAGTGGGGCTGAGGGTCTGGAGCCAGTGTGCTGGTGACCCTGCTGTGATAGGTATGGGGCTGGTATCTGGAAGGGCCACTGCAGCTGGGCAGGGGTACTGTGGGCCGGGAGGGACCCTGGGTACATGGCCCATGATGGGCACTCTGAGATGATGAAATCATGGCCAATAATAAAGATATTCCCCTACTTGCTCAGTCTACCTTTTCTTCTGCCATGCTGGGGAAGTAACCCCAGGATCTAACCTGTACTCAGCAGGCCCCAGGGGAGTGGAAGCCATGCCTCCTGTGGAGAAATAAGCCCCTGGTAGAAGCTTTCCCAAGACATTTTTGCACTCGCTGGACCAAGTCACGCCTGAAACCCTCAGGCGTTTTCAGGGATCAAGCTACCTTTTTATTTTTTTGTTTCTTGAGACAGGGTTTCTCTGTGTATCCCTGGCTGTCCTGGAACTCACTCTGTAGACCATGCTGGCCTCAAACTCAAGAGATCTACCTGCCTCTGCCTCCTGATTTAAGGCGTGCGCCACCACACCTGGCTTCAACCTACCTAAAGATTTATTTATTTATTTATTTAGTATATAGCATGTATGACTACAGGTCAGCAGAGGGCGCCAGATCTCATTACAGATGGTTGTGAGCCACCATGTGGTTGCTGGGAATTGAACTCAGGACCTCTGGAAGAGCAGTCAGTGCTCTTAACCTCTGAGCCATCTCTCCAGCCCTCAACCTACCTTTTATATTGGGGTCAATTTGAGTTCAATTTCTTCTCTTAAGTAACATAAATCACTTTTTCTAACATTGCCACAAAGAAGGTGGTACAGGCTTTGAAATGTGAATTTAACTGCATTGACCTGTGGTGATGAAAGTAGCGCAGCAGTGGTGGCGACGCCTTTGATCCCAGCAGGGGCAGAGGCAGGAGGATCTCTGTGAGTTTGAAACCAGCCTGCTCTACAAAGTGAATTCCTGGACAGCCAGAGCTACATAGAAAAACCTTGTCTCGGGGGAAAAAAAAGTACCAGCTTCAGGGTGGACTGAGCACCAGACCTATGCTTAGCATGCCCAAGGCCTTGTGTTCAATCCCTACCTGAGCTACTTTCCTACAAAACCCCACACATGTGGCCCCTCCTGTTGGAAGACACCTGGGGCTTGCTGGGTTTGAACTGCCACCTTTCTAGGACCAGGGGGTAATTGACTGTCCGTGTGGCCAGAACTGGACTCCTGGCCTGGAACTGGCCTGGTTTTTTTATCTTCCGTGGCACAGGGGATTCCCAGACAACACACACTGCCTAGTGTCTGTGCAACATCACTCAAACTCCACCAAGGCCAGCTAAAGTGAGGACCTATGCACAGTGGAGGGGATCACAGTGTGCCTCCTGCACACAGGTCCCAAACATTGCCCAGGAAGCTTCAGGCAGGGGGCATGTCTCCATAACAATGCTTATAGAAATCATTAGTTTTACATCATGTAGCCCAGGATGTCCCCAACTTACGCCTCTATCTCTGCCCCCCAGGGTACTGGAATCTACACAATTGTTGCTCCCATCTGTGACTTTGGACAGGTCCTTGTCTCTGAACCTCATTTCCACCCCCTGTAAAATGAAGAAATGCTTTTAGGCAGCTGCACACAGTAGGGGTCTAATCCATGTTTATTCTCTGGGATTCTCAATAGGACTTGCTTCCCCTGGAAGAACTGGAGTGTGGTTCCCCATGGGATGAGAAGCCACCACCATCTCCAGGACACTCAGAAGTACACGGAGTCCTCACAGTCGCTGTCCTCTTGGTCATCGAATTTTCGGATCTGGGACTTGAGGTGCCTCAGTTTACCCTTCAGGTAGTGACAGCGAGCCTGCTTATCCAGGAAGCCAGGATCCTGGGGGAACAAGAGCTGAGGAAGTCCTCTTGGCACTCTAACCTGAGGTCCTCACGATGTTCAACTCTTTTTTTTTTTTTTTTTTTTTTTTTTAATAAACCGCATACACGGTCCCAGTTTCAGGACAGGACCAGAGGCCACAGACTCAGGAGTCTCCACTCACCGCCCGCTTCTTCTCAAACTCTCTCCAGACACGAGCTGCCACGTGAGCCTCCTTCTGAAAGGGCGAGGTGGGGCAGGGGCTCAGAAGGGTGGGGCAGGGCCGACATGGCTGTGATGGCAGTGCCCACCCGGTAGAGGGAGCACGGTCGCAGGGAGCTGAGGACACTAGAGGACCCGGGTCTGACCTGGCTTCGCGGTGGGGGCAGTGACATCAGCAGGGCCTCCAGCTGCCGGAGCTTGGCCTGCGTGGCCCCCACCTCGCGCTGGAGCTCCGAGAACTCTCCGTACTGGTCCTCGAACACAGCAGCATAGCGGCTCCGATCCCTCCTGCTGCTCACTGGCGGGTACTTACTACCAGATTGGAAAAGGGGTCAGTGTGAGTGGGAGGAAATCTGTCTTTCCACTCCATCATGGCAATTGGTTTTTCTTTGCCCATGCTGGGACCCCCAACTAATGCCCCCATTTCTTAACTCGGTACTGATCCTTCCTAGTTCCCAGGCATTAAAAAGCACGGAGGGACCACGAGCATGGTGACTCAGGAGGCTGAGACAGGAGGTTCATGACTTTTAAGAGGCTAGCCTGGGCTACAAGGCCAGACCCCCGGCTTTACAACAAAAAGCCACAATGGGGCACTCACAGCTCATAGTCGGGCACTGGGTTGGGACGGGGGTCCCAGAGCTTTGGGAGGCTTTTCTTCATGCAATGGGGCCCGGGGACGTAGCTCGTCCTCAAACACGATCTTCCGGGGCCTCGTGCGGAGCCCCCCGGGCCCCGGGTGACACTGCGGAGGGTGAGCGTGGGACTCCCGGCTTCCAGACACCAGCGTCTGCACAGCAGCAGGGATCGCGGTTAAGAGGTGTCAGGAAGTGGGGTTCTCCCCACGTAGGGACTCCTACACGGGCACTCACCCGGGGCTCCGGGCTGGCTGGGCGGGGCTGCGGGCGCTCCTGGGCGGGCATGCGCGGGGCCGCGGCGCTCGGGCGCCCCCCGACGGCGGGGCGCGAACTGCAAGTAGCGTTGGGGCCTGAGCGCCTGGACCGGGGCCTGCAGGCGGCGGGAGGACCCGGCGGACCGCGCCTGGGGGCGGGGCCTGCGGGTATTTGCATACGCGAGCGCGGTTGGCTGGCCGCGCAACCCAGACTCCGCCCCTTGGCGCGGACCCCGGAAGGGGGCGCTGAAGAGGCGAGGCGTCACCAAGCCTTCATTTGCATGAAGGCACGAGGTTGGCTGGCCGCGCAGCGCCGGCCCCGCCCCCGGTTCTGAAGCCGGAAGGGCGCGATGCAGCGGATCCTGGGCGTCGCGGCGACCCCGGACGGGTCGAAGCGACCCCCGCGCCTACCGCCGCAGCCCACGGTCACGTCCCCGCGGAATTCCCACCTCCTCCCGCCTGTCGGTCACTCGGGTCGTCCCGCGCAGTGTCACCTGTCCCAGAGCCGCGGATCCGCGCCTGGCTCTGCTGCAGGGAACGCAGCTGTGCAGGAAATGCCTGCGGATCCGCTGTCCAGGGCGCCCGGCCGCCGGGGCGGGGCTAAGGCAGGTGGGCGGGGCCCGTGGAATGTTGACACCGGGTTTGAGTCTTCTCTCTAGGGGCGCTGTCAGGGCCTATTAGCTTTCCCAAATCTATTGTAAAAAAACAGGGTTTTTTTTTTTTTGTTTTTAGTAATTGTATTTTTAAAAAATACCTTTGTGGTTGTGTGCATACGCAGAGGCCAGCTCAGGTTATTGCTTCCCCATCTTATTTTTTTTCCGTTTTGGCTAGGCTGGCTGGCCGGGAGCTCCAGGTAGATCTGCCTGTCTCTACTCCTAGCACTGGGATCATAAGCTCATGCACCCACCCCTGGCATTTTAGAAGGGTACTGAGGATTTGAACCTAGGTCTGCATACTTGGGCAACAAGCAGTTTTACAAAGAGTCTTGGCCTCATCGCCTAAAAGAAAGTTTAAGCTTTTATGATGTTTATTAGGGGTGTGTGTGCATGGGAGTGCAGCTGCCCAGAGGCCAGAGGTGTCAGGTTCCCTGGAGCTGGAGTTACAGTAAATATATTTATTATTAAATAGTTTTTGATTTGCCTTTTTCCCCTTATTCTTGTATTTTATTTGTGTGTTCTGGAGTGGAACTCAGGTTGTCAGGTCTTTTGGCAAGTGCCTTTACCAGCTGAACCGTCTCATAAGCCTTTCTTTTGCTATTTTGGAGGATAGAGTCAGGGTCTCACTATGTTGGCCAACATCAGTATAGAAAGTGTGCTGGCCGACACCACCCTGCAGTCCACACACCCCACTCCACTAGCACTGAAGGCATAAGCTGGCAGAGGGCTTTATTTCAGCCTGGGCATGATTCGGATAAACAAGATCATGCTGATGAATACGAAGCATACGACGATGAGCATGGCCCACAGCAGCCAGTTCACCGACTTCTGCGCATGCTGCTCCAACCGCTCTGATTCCATCTTCAGCTTCTCCAGGTTCTGGTCGGCCATCTTGAGAGAGTGTGACAGGGTCTGTGGGAAAAGGGGGACTGTCAACAGGACTGAGACCATGTGTGACCTGTCTTGGGTGGCCCATGCTTCTGGCCCTAGCTGTGCCCTCTGCTGGGTATGCCTCAGCCACCCCCTCCTTGGGCTTTACCAAACTCCTGCTGAACCTGCAGAGCACCAGTCATAATGCCCCTCTTCTGCGGAGCTTTCTCAGTGCCCGAGGCAGAGACTGCAGGGTTCCCACACCTGGTTGTCCTTCTTGATGACACTCTGGGCGGCTAGTGTGTTGGTCTTGAGGCTGCGTGCCAGGCCTAGCATCTCCTCCGCCAGCTTTTCCTGGAGGCCCTGGTGCCTCTGGAGGACGAGGTCAAGCTCGGACGCTGAATGCTTCTCATCTGCAGGTCTGGGCCCCTTTGCTCTGCTGACCCCACATGTGGTGGGTACCCAGGAGTGACAGGTGGAGATACAGACACCCACATGGTGCCTTCCCAAGGATCCCAGGGCCCATGGCATCACCTTCAGTTCTGCTTGGGACTCAGTTTCCCCTGCTTTTTTACATTCCAGGAACAGCAGCCCCAGAAAGTACTTCCAGTGGGCAGTTAGATACTTGTAGCAGCACCTCCGGGGCCCAGCTTCACCCAGCCCCCTCCCAGTCCCCACCACTCAATGGCTAAGATACTCACATGCGCTTCCTCATGTCCACCTCAAGCTCTGGAAGCAAAGGAGGCCAAGGACGAAGGTTGGTTTCCTGTTTCCAAGCCTGCTACCCAGAATGCTGTTCTGCCTGGGACCTACTGTCCACTGGACTCATCATACTGTAAAGCCCTAGGTAGAGTGCCTCTGTACAACATCCTTCCTATCCCCAAGGTCCCAGGTCCCTCTCAGTGGCCTAGCACTGCGCTGGGGTGCTGTCTCTCCTGGGGACACCTCTTTCTCAGCCTCCCCTCGGGCATGACTAAGTTGACCCTGGGTTACCCTCTTCCAGGGCTGGGGAAGATCAAGGGAGCCTTGTGGGGCAGTAGGGACAGCCAAGTCCTGCCTGCCGTGACTCACCTCCAGATGATTCCTGTGGGGAGAAGAGAGAGGCTTGAGGCCATGCACCTTGATGTCTTCCTAAATCTCTCTCTGCCTTGGGATGACCTACGAAAAGTGCTCTGAAGGACATTCCTTACTCTATTGTAAACAAATTCTGATGCGGGGGCAACTCTGGGGCTCAACCAGGCAGACATGGTCCATGGTCCATGTTGTTGTTGTATTTTCTTTTGTTCGTTGTCGAGACAGGGTTTCTCTGTGTGGCCCTGCTGTCCTGGAACTCACTCTGTAGACCAGGCTGGCCTCGAACTCACAGAGATCCACCTGCCTCTACCTCCCGAGTGCAGGGATTAAAGGCGTGCGCCACCACCATCATCTACTCTTGCCAGAAACCAAATTCCTATTCCTTTAGCAATGTCTTGAGCACTGTACTTTCTCTGGGGCAGCCATGTCTGTGGGCCCTCTTGGGTTTCTGGTACTGTGTTCAGTCTCTGTCCCTGTACAGACTCTGTGCTGTCCCAAGGATGGTCCCAGGGACAAGGGAGGAATCCTACCGTGCCCAGCAGCTCACTCCGCATCTCACTGGTGTAACGTGCCCGGGACTGCAAATGTACGGTCTTGGTGGCGGGCACCCGTTCCCTGGCTGTGGTGGGCACTCGGCCAGGGGCCAGGAACTGGTTAGCTAGAGCCTTCTCAGAGGAGGAGGTCTGAGGGAACATGGGAAGGGGGAGATAAATCACGGGAGGGCTGTGTCCAGGTCCTGGGGGCTGTGGGGGCCCGAGTGAGGCCTGAGGGGTGGGAGGACAGGCTCACCAGCTTCTCAGCCTGCAGCATGCCCTTCAGAAAGTCCACCTTGCGCGAGTACTCGCCGATGACTTCAGAGGCGGGTTTGCTGAAAGGCAGCAAGAGGAAGTCAACCTGCCTCTGTCGCGGCGTGGAGGGGGTGTCTCAGTGTCCCACACTCACCTTGCTTGGATTTTCAGGGCCTGCAGCATGTCTTCCAGGGCACCCACATACTGGGAGGAAAGGTAGGGTGTCAGCCAGGTCAGGGCCTCAAAGAGTGCTTGCAAGAGTCAGACCAGAAAGGGGTGTGGCCGGGGGAGGGGTCGGGAGAGGGCGGAGCCACGGCCCGGGGTGGGGCATAGAGTCGATTAAGTGGGAACAGGGGGCGTGGCCTGTGGCTGAGGGGGTGAGATCAGGAAGAGAAACCCCGACGGGGGGGGGGGGGGGAGGGCGGAGCCGCAATTGACGTGGCGGCGCCAGCCGGAAGTGGCCTGGCCAGTGAGTCGGATCATCTCCCCCTAGGGCCCGAGACCTCTGCGGCAGCGTGGGAGTCCCTCACCTTCTCCAGACGCCACTCGTTCGGTTCCCGCTTTTCTGCTGCCATTGACTCGCAGCGACACAGCAACCGCACCAGGTTCAACTCCAGCCGCGACGTCGCCAGCGGGCGGTGACCGGCCCCTTCCGCCTGCGCCATCTTAGGGAAGGGCGGAAGTGTTTGCGAGGAGGCTTTCTTTTGGTCGATCGTCCCGCCCCTCCGAGGTCCGCCCTGCTAGGCTTGGAACGGAAGTAGTTTTGTTTCAAGCCACGGCACTGTGCCGTCCGTGTTTGTCCAAGGATAAACCGTTTTCTTCCCAAGAGAGCATCTTTTTAAAATTGTAATTTTGTTGTTTGGTCTTTTTTCTTTTTTTGAAGCAGAATCTCTCTGTAGCCTAGATGCGCCAGAGGCCGCCGATCACGTCCAGGGAGCATTGGTCGGCAGGACCGGAAGGGCCGGTCTTCAGCTTGGACCCACGCGCAACGCTCCCCGGGTCACTGCGTTCCGCTTGCTCGTCACGCCTCCCCGCGCTCAGTGCGCGTCTTCCCTCTCTGAGCGCTCCACAGACGGGCCACGGCCTCCGCTTTCTACTGGGCGGGGAGCCTTGGCCTGCGGCTTCCCCCGACCCTGGTTTGATGACATTCCAGGTGGGAGCTTCCGTCGGACAGAACGGCTAGTTTCCAGCCCTGGCCGCCTGCCTCCCGAGCTCTGACCCGGCAGTTTCCATCCTTAGCCCTGACCGTTTCCATTCCGTAATCATTATGGTCCATTTTATGAAAATAGAACTCGCCAGCGAATCACAGACGACCAGGAGGCAGGAGGCCCTTGTCTTTCCTAGCTAACAGCAATACTAGTTCATCTTGTGTTGAACTTAGTCCGCTACGTGATTTTGCCCACGGAGGATGGAGAATTCAGAGTGGAGACTATGCTAGATAGCGAGATTATAGAATCTCTGAAGAACTTGTACAATGAGGAATCCAGGGGACAGGGTCTGCCATGGGGGTTATAAAACATGCCTGGCATTTCTGCCTTTCCTAAGGTGAGTGACCCTCCATACCCTATACCCTAAACCAGCTTCGACTTTGCAAGGTCAAAAATTAAGTTGTTTTTCTCCATTTGAGTCTCCAGCACTTTTTTTTTTTTTTTAACTTGCATGGGTGTTTTGCCTGCATGTATGTCTGTGTGAGGGTGTCAGATCTTGGAGTTACAACTGTTAGCTGCCATGTGGGCGCTGGGAATTGAACCTGGAACCTCTGGAAGATCAGTCAGTGCTCTCAACTCCTGAGCCATCTCTCCAGCCCCATCCAGCACTCGTAATATGAAGCAAGGATTGTTGTCTCATACTCCCCAACTCTGGTCTTGAGCGGCTTCCTTAACTCTGTTGGGAAAGCATCTGCTACATCTCTCTGCCTTCAGGGGACAGGACCCAAGTCCGGGCTAAGGCAGAGCTGGATCGCATCCAATACTCAGCATCCTATAGGAATCCAGTGTCAATCCCTGTGTGTGTGTCTGTCTGTCGGTATGTATGTATGTATGTTGAGCCTCATGTTTACATGGAGGACTGTGCCCTGTGGAGGCCAGAGGGCAACCTCAGTGTCATCCCTCTCCCATCTCCCTATCTCTGTCGACAGGGTCTCACTGGCTGGCCTTGAACAGAGATCTGCCTATTTCTGCCTCCCAAGTGCTGGGATTACAAATGTGCGACAGCAGGCCTGAGCTTGAGCTACACTCTCTGTTTGGCCTGGAACTCCTCAAGCAGGCTGGACTGGCCCACTGCTGCAGCCTTAGAGATCCACTTGTTTTCTCCCCAGCGCCGGAATTATAAGCCCTCAGCACTAGACCCAGCTTTCAGTGTTTTGGTTTTTTTTTTGTGTGTGTGTGTGTGGTTTTTCGAGACAGGGTTTCTCTGTGTAGCTTTGCGCCTTTCCTGGGACTCACTTGGTAGCCCAGGCTGGCCTCGAACTCACAGAGATCCGCCTGGCTCTGCCTCCCGAGTGCTGGGATTAAAGGCGTGCGCCACCACCGCCCGGCTTCAGTGTTTTGGGTTTTTATTTTATTTAAATGTTGTGTATGTGTGTGGGTCCATGTGCATGTATGGACTCATGCATGTAAGTGCAGATGCCCATGGAGGCCAGAAGTGGACACTGGATCGTCTGGAGCTGGAATTGCAGGTGGTTGGGAGCTGCCTAAAGTGGGTGCCGAGGATTGGAATTAGGTCCTCTGCAAGAGCTGTATGTGCTCTTACCCACTGACCACCCCTCCAGCCCCTCACATGACTTCTGAGAGTGAGAAGTGTAAGGCAAAGCATCTCAGACCTGAGCAAGTTTCTAAAGAGATGCTGGGCTGGATAAATGGCTCTTGCATTCAGTACCCAGCACCCATGTGGGGTAGTTCACAGTTTCCTGTAACTCCAGCTCCAGGGGCTCCAACACCTCTGACCTCTTCAGGGACCTGCCTTCACATAACACATACCCACACACAGACACACAACTAAAACATATACATTTTAAACTGGGCAGGGTGGCACAGGCCTTTAATCTCAGCACTCGGGAGGCAGAGGCAGGTGGATCTCTGTGAGTTCAAGGTCAGCCTGGTCTACAAAGTGAGTTCCAGGACAGCCAGGACCACACACAGAAACCCTGTCTCAAAAACCACTTCTATCTATATTTAAATATGAATGCATAAATATATATTTAAATCTTTAAAAAAAAGATATTGGATCCCCTGGCACTGGAGTTAGTGTGGCTGTGAGGGCCATGTGGTTCTGGGACCTGGCCTGGGTCCTCTGAAAGAACAGTAAGCCTTCTTAACTTCTGAGCCAGCTCTCCCAGTCTTTTTGGAGACAAGAGCTTCACTGCGCAGCCCTGACTGGCCTCCAGCTCAGTCCCTCGGCGGGGGTTAAAGGCCTGAGCCACATCAGCACCTGCACACCTTTGTGGCCACCACTCGACAGAACGCCTTTCCTTTCTGAGGTGGGGTGACCACATTTTGCTCTTCCATTCCTGTTGGTGTGACCTGCCCGGGTGATGTCGGAGGAAGAAACAGACGCATACAGACAGACTGCCATCGGGTGGGAAGCTCTAAATTTTAAGATTGTTTTATTTGTGTGCACATATGCTCCTGTCCGTGTCCCTGTGCACAGACGGAGGTCAGAGAACTTGGAGTTGGTTCTCTGCCATGTGTGAGCTGACTTGCCACGGCTCTTGACGGGCCCTCATGAGTACCACAGCGTGGCACAAGGCCCACCCCTGGGTCCTGCTCACTTCAGAGAATACCCTGGAGGACACTGAATCCAGGGCTCACAAAGGCAGGCCTCTGGGGAGTGACAGTGGGTGTGACAGCCCTCCTCTCCGGCTCTGTGGCTGGGACAGGTAGAGTGCTGTCAGAACCCTTAGTCTGTTAGTGTTGAGCTTGCCCTGGATCTGAAACACAAAAAATGCTGTGCATGCCTTGATGACCACATCTGTCCAAGGAGCTGGGGACAGGCTCAGAGGGTAAAGAGGCAGCCCTGAAAAGGACAAGGGCCTGCCTTCAGATCCTCAGCACTCACATAAAGAGCCAAGTGTCTGCAGCCTGGGGCCAAACTTGAGTCTGCCAGACTCCAGACTGCCCTGCCGGTGGCCCTGTCCAGTTCAGGCCAAGGATGACATCCAAAGGTGGTGGCAGTGGGGAATGCCTCAGAGGTTAAGAGCACTGACGACTCCGCCAGAGGATTTAGGTTCAACTTTCAACACCCTCAATGGTAGTTTACACCCATTCAAAATCCTAGTTCCAGGGAACTGATGCCCTCTTTCTGGCCTCCACGGGCATCAGACATGCACAGTGGTACACAGGCATATACATTCATTGAAACACCTATTAACACTAAATAAAAATAATCTAAAAAAATTTTAAAGGCAATGGCAGCCTTCAGGAGGTCTGGAGAGAGGGAGCTCCAGGTGACACTACCCTTAGAGTTTTCATGTGGATGGACCGGCAGGAGGAGGTGAGGCAGACGGCTCCCAGAGAGGTCCTGTGGCTGAGGAGGCCTAATAAGTCTTGTTCGTGGAAGCCTGGCCCTTCATCCCACTAGATCTCAGCACGACCAACGGACAGAGCAGATGGACTCAGAGGATTCCTTGCACAAGTGCACTGAGCCAGCCCTGGGGGTCCAGCTGGACCTCCACAGGGGATAGTAGAGGAAGCTCAGCTCCCTCGACTGGGCCAAGACTCAGGGACACGCCCCAGGCAGTCCTGAAGAACTGGCTTGGAACTGCTTCAGGCTGGCCCCTGAGGCCCACTGTGTGTTGGAGCAGCCTGTCCCAAAAGCAGGCCAGGGTGACACGGGACTCCCAGGGCCTCCTCCACAAATGTATCTGCTCAAATGCACCTGACCCTGAGAACACTCCTGTGCACTTGCCTCAGGGGCCCCTGGGGGGGGCAGGGTTTTGCAATGTAGCCTTGGCTGGCTTGAAACTCATTATGTAGACCAGGCTGGCCTCAGACTCAGAGATCCATTTGCCCCTGTCTCCTGAGTGCTGGGATTACAAGTGGGCACCACTACATGCGGCCCTTTGGTTTTTAATAAAGACTAAAGACTATAATAATTTTTTTTAAAGGCCAGGTGTAGCGAGTGGTCTGGTCCTACAATCTCAACACTGGATGGAACCAGCCAGCCCTGTCAATCAGGGAGCTCAGGTTCAGAGCTGTCTTCAAAAAGATGAGGCGGAGCGCTACGGAAGAAAACATCAATCACATTGACCTCCACACGCGTATACAGAGATAAGTTTAAAGAAATCATTTTAAACTACCAAGAGCAGGCTAATATCAGCCCTTCCAACACAAAGCCAGGAGCCAAGCAGCCTTTGCTGGCTCCTGCACTGCTCCCGGGACATACGTCCTCACCCCACCCAGAAAACCGAAGCAGGAAGACTGACTGGCTCTGAGCATCAGCAGGGCCTGGCAAGTGAAACTGCAGCAACCGTTCCCGCCCCGGCCAAAGGGGGCACGACAGGCCCTACCAGAGCAAATACAACCCTTCATTTGCATGAGACACACCCTGGCCACACCCCCTCTCCTGGCGATCAAAGCAGGTCCTTTGCCGGCTTTCCACATGGGGTTCCATAAAAGGCTTAAGCAGCCAGTTCCTCGTGTGTGACAGGGATACATTATGAAGCCCTGGAACTTGCTATGTAGACCAGGCTGCCCTCAAAATGAGTGTTGATTTCGCCTGCCTTTGCCTCAGGATTGTTGGTATTAGTATGCCTGGCTTTGTTATTTTGAGACTCAGCTGGCCCACATATGTATCTGTCCTGGTTAGTTTTATGTCAACTTGACACAAGCTAGAGTCATCAGAGAGGGGGCAGGAAACCTCAGTCGAGACAATGTCTCTGTAAGATGGTGCTGTAGGCAAGCCTGTGGGCATTTTCTGAATTAGTGATTGCTGGAGTGATTGCTCAGTTCATAGTGGGTGGGGCTATCCCTGGGCTGGTGGTCTTAGGTTCTATAAGAAAGCAAGTTCTGGTCTACAAAGTGAATTCCAGGACAGCCAGGGCTGTTACAGAGAAACACTGTCTTGAAAAACAAAACAAAAAGTTTTAGCCTGGCGTGGTGGCACTTAGGAGGCAGAGGCAGGCAGATCTCTGTGAGTTCGAGGCCAGCCTGGTCTACAGAGCAAGTTCCAGGACAGGCTCCAAAGCTACACAGAGAAACCCTGTCTCGAAAAGAAAACAAAGCAGGCTGAGCAAGCCAGTGAGCAGCACCCCTCCATGGCCTCTGCATCAGCTCCTGCCTCCAGGTTCCTGTCCAGCTTGAGTTCCTGTTCTGACTTCTTTCAATGATAGACAGTGATAAGGAAGTATAAGCCGAATAAACCCTTTCCTCCCCACTGCTTTTTTCAGTCATGATGTTTCATTACAGCAACAGAACCCCTAAGACACTAGTCCAGACTAGCTGTGAACGCTGATGCTGGGATTCTCGTGTGTAATCTCACCAATTTTACAGCATCCATTCACTTCGTGAACAAACCTCTGGGTATGGCCACGAGGGACGGCCTAGGTTTAGGTTACTCTGAGCCTCCAGCTGCCATGCCTGCCCTTCTGTCATGGACTATGTATTCGGATTGTGAGCCCCAACACATCCTTCCTTAGTTACGTTTGCCAATGCAATGAGAAGTGGCTAGCCGCTGTGTCACCCCCGGCCAGACTTCTCTACCTGCCACCTTTGTGGGGAAGGTGGAGTTGCCACAGGATGAGGATGCAGGGCAGACCAGGAGAGCCGACCGAGTTGGGGTAGCTCAGAAGACAGACTCCGAGCACCATCTGGTTTCTCACAAACACTTGTAACTCTAGCTCCAGAGAATTCAATACCCTCTTCTGGCCTCTGTGGTCACCAGTGCATACTTGCGCGTGCGTGTGCACACACACACACCCCACACACTTAAAAATCTGAAAAAAAGTTTCAAGGTGGCAGGAACAGGAGCAGAGATGAGAAATGCAACCTTGTTACTACAGCAGCAGACACACCAGCAGCTGGTCAGAACAAGTGGCTTCCAGCCTGAGGATCTAGACAGGGGTTCTCAACCTCTGGGTCACAACCCTCAGGGGAGTGAATGACCCTTTCACAGGGGTTGCATTTCAGATACTTACAATTCATAATAGTAGCAAAATTACACTTATGAAGTAGCAGCAAAAATAAATTTTATGGTTGGGGGTTGGTATTTTTAGTTCCCCAGTAATTGGTTTCTCTGCTGATTCAATAAACCGAATCAAACTGAATTTAAAAGTCCAGATTAATGAGCACTGGGTTCCCTGGTGACCTCGGGGTGGGGGAAGGGGAAAACCCTGTGGCAGGTCTATGAACCGGAGC